TCAAAGCGCAGGGATTACAGACATGAGCTACTGTGCCCGGCCAAAAAATTTAAATAGAAGGATTGGAAAATGAAATTAAACAACTGTCCTAGAAAGTAGAACAAAAATGCAAAGGGATGAAAAATAGATAAGAAAATTAAAGGATGTTTTTAGGAGGCTGGGACATTCAGCTAATAGCAGTTTCAGAAAAACTGTGGTAAAAACAGTGAGGAAGAAATAATTGAAGAACGAATATAAGAAAGTATACTAAAACTTGACAAAATGAATATTCAAACTGAAGGAGCCCACTGAGTTCCCAACAATTACTGATAAGAGCATTGCTAAAGCACGTAATCATAAAACGCAAAAATACTAGTGACAAAGAAAAAAGATAATCACTTCCAAAAAGAAAAAAGACTACATTCAAAGGTTTGACAAGCAGAATACCATCAACTTCTCAAGCAGTAATGGCCACAGAGACAATGAAGAAATGCCTTATAAAATACTGAGAAAATATGATTTCTTTCTTGGAATTTTATACCTAAACAAACTAGCAATCAAGGGTGGAATGAATGAATGTGTGTTTATCAATATATTTTATACGAGGTATGCCAGAGACACATTCCAACCTTCTTTTTTACTCACAGAACTGTTTTGTTTGAAGCCACAATGTATATAGTTAAAAGTATTTACTTTTCTAGTATTCTGTACAAGCTAGCAGTGGCCCTGTGTCACAGTCTAGCCAATGATATCTAAGACAAAATCTACTACAAAGGCTTATGGAAATACTATTTTCCTGATGAAAATAGATTTGACTGGTTCTGCCTTTTGTCCTTTCTGCTGCATTCCTGCCTGGAATGCAGATATGATGCCAAGAGGTACAGCAGCTATCATAAGACCACGAGGAAGTAAGCATAAAGGCAAAAGTCAACATCTAAGTATCGCAGATAGAAATAAAAGAAAGTGCTTGGGTGACCGATCACATCACTGACCTGTCACACTAGTTACACCAGCCACCAAACTACTTATTTTGCAACTGCTTACAAAGAACACAAGCTTGTAAAAATTGCTGCTGTCACTTTTTTTTTGTTGTTTGCAGCTGAAAGCATCCCTGACATATTCACAAGTTACCAAAACAAAAAATTGTATCTCCCCAACACCCTTCCTCAGGAAGTTACTGGAAAATGTACTCCACAGAAATGAGGAATGAACTCTGAGAAAAATGTGTAGTGCTCAGAATATAGATGATTCAACACAGGAAGGATACAAGAGGAATTCTTAGTGTCTTGGTAATAAGGGCAGTCCTGAGATGACAGCTGTAATGTGTGCCTACAAAGTAACCCAGTCACATTGGAAAAGGAGGACGAAGGGCTCCAGGAAATATGACATCAAGAAAAAACAATCATGGCTAGACTAACTGACGTGTTGGATCATATTGAAAGGAGGTTGATAGTTCTCCTAGAAAGTGTGGAGGTAAAATAGAGGTTGTGTAAGGAATGAGAAAAACCAAAAACCAAGTATTCTCCCTACTCTCACTCTCAGTACCAAATGTTTCACCTCTGGTCACCCAAATGTGTGGGAATCTCTCCCCACCAACCACCAGTTCTTCAGTAGAGATCACCTGGGAGTCCTACAATTGAACTCTATTCTGACTCTATCTACCTGGAGAAAGCATCAGATCACACAGGTTAAGGGCTCAGTCCCACAAAACATCCCCCCCATGTCAGATGCCAATCACAAGTAGTAGGTTGTCACACCTATACTTCTGACCAACTAGCTATAAATTGGGGGTCCACAACCCCCTTCTCAGGTTCAGTTAATTTGCTAGGTGAGCTCACAGAATCCCAGAAAATGCTTGCTTATATTCACCAGTTTATTATATAATGAAGGATGTAATTAAGGACACAGATGAACAGCAATTGGAAGAGATGCCAAGGACAGAGAATGTGGAAAGGGATGCAGAACTTCTATGCCCTCTCTAGATGCACCACCCTTCAGGAACTTTGATTTGCTCAGCAATCTGGAAATTCTACAAACCTTGTCCTTTTGGGGGTTTATGGAGGCCTAATTACATAGGCACGATTAATTGCACCACTGGCGATCAAGTCAACCTTCAATCCCTCTCCCCCTCCCTGGAGGTTGCAAGAAGGGTGGCACTGAAAGTCCCAACTCTAATCATGCCTTAATAATCTGATTAGCATACAAAAGACACTCTTAATACCCCAGAGAGTCCAAGGATTTTAGGAGTTCTGTGCCAGGAACCAGGGGCAGAGACCAAATATACATTTCTTATTATATCACAATATCACAGCTTGGTGCACAGAAAATAAGGCAAACAAAAATCAAAACAAGGCAATCATTAACTCTAGGAAAAGCAAAAAGTTACAAGAGGGATGAAATGCCATAAAACACTGCATGGCAAAACAGTGAAAAGTATTTGCAAAGTCTTCTTAGTGCAAACATTGAATTATTTTTAAAGATGGCACTACTATATTGGGTAGTTGAAAAGAAGGCAGTGTGTCTGGAGTAGAGTGAGCAAAGGGAGAATGGTAAGAAAGGAGATCAGAAAGGAAAACAGGAATTAGGTCATGCTGAGGTTTGGATTTTCTTTCCTAAGGGTGCTACAGAGCCACTGGGGAGTTTCAGACAGGAAACTTGAATGCTGTAACTCATGTTTGAAAATAATAACTTTGGCCGTATTGTGGAGGAGAATATACCATGCAGGGATAAGGTGAAAAGCCAGTAGGCCTGTTGGATAAGAGGAATAAGAGGCTTCTGCAGAAGAGATTTTTTCCTATAAGGTGACCTGGACTGGGAAAGGCACACTTCGGGACGTAAGGAAGTGGGTAGATGGGAATATACTTAGGAGGTTGGTGGCTTACGGAGTAAAAAGGGAGACACAGGGATGACTTCCTACATGTCAGCACAAGGCATCTGGAGAAGGCAGAGGAGGTTGTTACTGGGTTCAGGAAGACTGGGGAAGGAATGATTTGCAACTAGAGTCTGGGATCTAGGGTTCTGTTTTGGACTTGTTAGGCTGAGTTGCCCCCAGAAAGTACCAAGTAGGCAACTGTGCCAGGGCTCAGGGTACAGACAAGGCTAGGAAGAAACTCAGAATATGCTCAGTCTCAACAGGGAGTAATTCCTCCTTTTCTCTTGCCAATGCAAAGAAATGTTTCATTATATGTTTGGAGTTTTAAACAGCCTCAACGGTATGATTTGGGGCACTGATTGATTGAAGACTTGATACTGAGAATCTAAGGCACCGATTGATTGAAGACTTGATACTGAGAATCTAAGGGTAAACAAGCAGTGAATCCTGGAATATATCACAAAAGGTAACCCACTCAAAGTGCTTAGGCCCCCCTGGTTTTCTATTCTGGGTCATATCTCTCTTAAGGAAACACTCTCTCCACCAAAGTTGAAGTCATAAAATAGTAAAAGTCCTCCCACACACACACACCCAAGAAATAATTTCCCATGATTAGCTGGATTTAATAAACATTTTTAACTGATTTAATAAACACACGCCCAAGAAATAATTTCCCATGATTAGCTGGATTTAATAAACATTTTTAATTGATTTAATAAACACATGCCCAAGAAATAATTTCTCATTATTAGCTGGATTTAATAAACATTTTCTTCCTAAAAAATTTTGTCCCTGCTCAGTAGACTTCTGTGTACAAAGCACGTGCCAAATTAAAGACCATGTCAGGCACACTTTGAGACACTTTCCGTTTTTTAAAAAGTTCTTTCTCAATAAACATTCAAAAGGACTAATTTGTTTAAAAGTCTTTCAAAGCACAATTCACTACAGGTCATAGAGTTATTTAAACCCTCAGCAGTATTCTTTCTTGGCTTTCTCATTGCTTTGTGCAATCTTTGTATTTAATCGTTAATCTCCAAATTGATCTTCGCAGTGTGGATTTTAACAAGAACTGGGTTTTAACCACATTACAGTAGATGCGGTGGGGGCGGAGGGCAGCAGTGGCAATCGCAAAATAAAACGTATCATAAAGTGGTAACGGTTCGTGATTGAGGCCAGTTGTTGAAAAATAAATGCCTGTTATATAGAATCATAGAAATTTAGAGCTTGCGGCCAAGGCAAGTCGTTCATCGGTGGACCGACAGCGCCCCAGGCGGCAGAAAGAAGGCGGCGGCGGCGGAGACCCCGGGAAGCTCCCGGATTTTTAAAAAGGCACCTGCTGAGTGAGTCCTCACTGTGCAAACGGGATCCACAGGTGCCCGATTTTAAGGGGATACAACTCGGGAAAATCTAAGTCTGTAAAACAACCATAAGATGCGCACGTTAAACTAAGTAAGTTCTCTTTGTACACCACGTTGATGTGGGTGATTATTTACGGCGGAGAAACTGAGCGGAGGGAGGAAGGAGAATTCGGCTGAAGTTTGCCCGCGACTGACAGCTAGGAAGTGACCTGGAAGCCAGGAAAAGGGGCAGGGAGGAAACGAAAGAAGTAGGTAAGAGAGTCAGTTAATGAAAACAGAGCCCAATGTTTAGCGCAGCAGGCACACCTGCGGAGGAGGGGGGCTGCCTCACCTGCGGGACCGCTGCGCGCCCCCCTAAGTGTGTAAGCCGGGGAGGAGGGGGCTGGAAAGGAAACCTGGTGGGGGGCTGGCCCGGAGCCTGGAGTGGCGGTATTAACTGCGGGATAGGGCCAGCAAGAGGACCCGACACACATCGTCCCGAGCGACACGTGTAAATGTCAAGATACAGAGACATCTACAAATGTCACCCAAGAGGATGAGGACAGAGGAACGGTCCCGAGGCTGTGCCCTCCGGGGCAGGTACTGGCTCCTGCGGGGCTGCGGGCCAAGTGTCCCCCTTCCCCAGGGAACTGACACCTGGGAGGGGGTCGGTCTCGCCGCGCTGGAAGCGCGAGCCCCGGGGCTCCGGGCGTGTCGCCCCTCGGGGCAGCCCTGGACCTCGGCGCGCCCGGGCGCAGCGTGAGGTGCCCCCAGTGGGGCGGGCAGCGAGCCGCCCGGGTTCGGCGACTTACCTCGGGCCTCGCGGGGCGCGAGCAGAGCCCCGGCCAGGGCGAGCAGGAGGGCGCGGGCGGGGGGCACGGGCGGCGGGCGCGCTGCCATCGTCGCCGGCCTTCCGTGCAGCAGCTCTCGGGCCCGGCAGCGAGCGCTGCACCATCCCACGCGGGCGCCGAGCCGGGGCCGGGCGTCGCGACCGGAGGGATTTCCTGCCGTGGCGAGTCAGCTCCGGAGCCCTCGCGCAGCGCCCGCGCCGCCGCGGAGCTCGTCTAGCCTTTCATTTTTAAAAAAGTTTCCCCCCGTGTGTGTGCGTGCGCGCGCGCGCGCCGTTCTGGCACAAGCCAGCCTTGACCGTTGCAATAAATGAGCAAACTGTCCGAGTTGGCCCGGGGACGAGGAAGAGCGTTAGTGAGAGAAGGCAGGCCTGTGAAATGGATCCACGGCCAGCAGTCACCGTTCTCATTACCGCCGAACAAATTATTGTCTCCCCCGCACCCCCGCCCGTCGGCGGCGTCCCGCGGGTCCTAGAGACCGCTCGGGTCCCCCCGCCAGGGTCCCGCCCCGAGCCGCGGCTCGCTCATCCCCGGGGGTGGGCGGCTCGGGGCAGGGCGCCTCCCTGGCCGCGAGCGCCGGCGGCATAGACGTGGCTCGGTAGCGGCCGGGCGCCCGGAGCGCACACGTCCCCGCCCCAGGATGATGTGGCCACAGGGCCCCGGGCGCCCGGCTGCCAAGAGCACACGCGGCGGCACGGTCCAGCTTTCCAGGCTGAAGCTGGAAACGATGACTCGGCTGCTTGCTCCCCGGCTCTCCGGGAACCCTCGGAGTGCGGGTCAGGTCTCCACCGCGGCCCACAGCCCGGCGCGCGACCCCGCCCGGCCCTAAGCGCCCAAAGGGGCATCTCGCGCCCGAGAAACAAGCTTGGATTCTCAGGCACAGGACACTTGGGCGTTACTTTTGATCAACAGTGTTAGGTTTTATGTTGATAGATTGGCTCACGTTTCCTTTCCATGACCTGGACCCAGAAAAGGGTGTACAGTAACGTTCCCCCAAACTTTCCTGATTGTAAGAAGCACCTGGGTTGGCTTGTTAAAAAGATTCTCGGGCGCCCTCCTACGCTTTCGGAATGAGACTCTTCAGACTGTGGGGCCAGGGGAGCCCAGGGTGTTTGGAGAAACACCAATGAAAGAATGGTGCCCGTGCCTTCTCATCCTTGTTCCGGGCTGACCTCACCTCTTCAGCCTCGCTCGGCCCTTAGGGAGACCATCAAAAGCAGCAGCGAGGGGCACCGCACAGACAAAAATGGCTGGAGCCATTTTTGGATGACTGATGCCCACCCTGCGGGTTACCATGATTCCCAGGCTTGGGAACTTATTAGAATAGTAAGAGTTAAAGACATTGCCACCCTAGAGACCAGTTAACTCAGAATTTCCCACAATGCGTGGAGCTCAAGAGTTTTCAAAACCTCAGGTGATTCTACTGTGCTGCTCAGACCTAGGACCACCTGCAGAAATTCCATCCTGGTCCTGTCACTCCGCACTGATTCCTAACTGAGCACCCACTCCTAGGAGGTGGTTAGCCAGCATTTGAGGAAACTGCCTTCCATACCATCTCTTCCCACTGCAGAGGAGCTTTTCTCGGGAGTTCTCTCCCACCGCAGGTTTTGCAGTGTTCCCAAACACCAGGTTGATCCTCCAACAAGGTGCAGGACTTTCTTTTTAAAAACCTTAGTGGGAGGCACAGGCTCTCCAGCCCCCTTCCCAATGCCGCCATATCTCAGTACCCGATCTGGAAACCAGGCCTGGTTCAAGCCATGTGTCATATCTAACCATACTACCAACCGGCGTTGCAGTGTACTTCCTGTGTTCATTCAGTCAATCAACATGGTCAACACTATGTTAGGGACTTGGGAAACTAATGAGAAAGCCTCTTGCCTTCAAAGACTTTTCTTTCTGATCGGTCACACTGATAAATCACCATTATTGAACAGTGTGAGCTAATTACTTAACCTATTTAATAATAATTAGGCTTGTTTACTGATATGGTTTGGCTGTGTCCCTACCCAAATCTCATCTTGAATTCCCATGTGTTGTGGGAGGGACCTGGCCGGAGGTAATTGAATCATGGGGTCTTTCCCATGCTGTTCTCATGGTAGTGAATACATCTCATGAGATCTGAGGGTTTTAAAACGAGGACTTCCCCTGCACTAGCTCTCTCACACTTTCTGCCTGCTGCCATCCATGTAAGACATGACTTGCCCCTCCATTTATTCTGTCCTAGCCATGTGGAAATGTAAGTCCATTAAACCTTTTTCCTGTATAATTACCCAGTCTTGTGTATGTCTTTATCAGCAGCGCAGAAACAGACTATTTACTGCTTCATAATTCCTTACATACCTCGTATAATTGGAGTATTGTGCTAAAGTCTTTCGCCTCCATTATTTCATTTTTAAAATCCTGAATATACAGATGAGGAAACTGCAGCATAGAGATGTAGCTTTCCCACCACCACACAGCAAAGTAGGTCAGAGCCCATCCTCAGACCTGTTAAAGATACAGCCTGTTTCTTTAAGCCGGAGTTCCAACCTTCAGTTTTAGCAGCTGTTAATTGAAGGTAAAATACAAACCTCCTAGGTGGTTGTGAGCACCAGGTGAACTAACGCAATGTCTCCCAACCTACCTGATACCTGGGATGTCTGTTAAGTATTCAATTCCTCTGGCGTTTGCACTGGAGATTCTCATTAGAATGGTCTGGGAAGGACAGTTTTTTAGCAAGTGCTAAGGTGATCCTGATACTGTGACCCATAGAACTTCAGACACCTCAATGCAGGAGAATTAAAAATTGTTTTCTTCCGGCTCAAAGGGCCAGATTTGCTTGCAGATGAGCCCAGTCACTGGCCTCTTGGATCCTTCTGACTGGTTAAGTGGTTTATTCACAATGGACCTAATATGTGCTGTGCGCTGGGCTGGGGGCCTTGTATACATCTTCTGTTAATGATCAATTTATTTTCACTCTTTAGTATTCAATTGTTACTGTTGGCTGTAAAAGTCCAATTTCTTTTAATCCTGGAAGTTGCAAAGCTTCCTCCAAAGAACTAAATGTGCCCCAAGACTGTCCTTGATTTGTTTTTGACTGAATGAAACAAAACAGCCATTGCAGAGGAAAAATAAAGAGAAATAAAATCCTAGCTGCAAGCCCTGGATTTCAACCCTGCAATTCACCATCTCTGTGAAGCAAGGGGCCTGGGTTGACACTGTCTCCATAAAGTCTTCATACACATCAATAACAGCCAGCTAAGGCAAAGAGCAAACCCTGCGTCCGGCAGATGGTCTGCCTTTGGATGGAAATTCTGCCTCCTCATTCACAGGAAATGGAAGCCGACATCTCATTCAATACTGGATTGTTAGGTAATGGTGTGGGGTCAGAGGCCAGGATCTGCACATGAAAATTTCAGATAGATGGCTTGTTGTCCCTTCCTTTCTAGAAGAATTGACCTTTGCAATACTGTTTCCTGTGTGCTATTTTTGTTTAACAGCCTGGGCATTCACAATGAACAGGGCACTTATTTCTTACCCAAGCTCATGTAAGCTCAATCTGCTCTGAGTACAAGCAGATAAAAAATGGAGGCAAACTTTCCTAAGCCAGGAATCTACAGGCAGCCACTCCTAATTTCTGCAGTAAGTGAAGAGCCAGCCTCCTTGCAGAGTGACCTATTGACAGAACTTCAGACACAGGCTTGCAGAACAGCTTTTATCTCTCCAAGCACAGTTCCCAAGGCTTACTCCAAACGTAAACAAATGCGATTGCCCCAAGATTAAGATTCTTGGAAATCATTTTAATTCTGTCTCTTGGAGATGAAAACTGCTCCTCTCAGTCTATTATAATAACATGTAGTCCATTTTTCTTTTCCTAGATCTCTCACTTCAAGAATCCATGCCTTCACCTCCTCAGAAACCTGCCCCCAATGAACCTCTTCTGGGCAGATTAAACCCTCTTGTCTCTGACGCTTTCATAATTGCACAGAATCAGCACTTAAGTAGCCAGTCTATATGCCAAAGAAAGAATACTCCTGGGGCAGGGAACTCAGGGATGCTGAGTCACATCCTCAAGAGACTTGTGACACAGTCTCTTGCTGTGTCACAAGAGACAGGAAAGGTCACCCCATCTGTATTCATCGATGTCACCTGCCCATTGACCATTCAACTTCTCCAACCAAGTGACAGTCATACTTCACTTAACAAAGACACATTCTAAGAAAGGCATCGTGAGGCGGTTTTGTCACTGTGTGAACATTACAGAGTGTACTCACAAATCTAGATGGCACAGCCTACTGTACATCTAGGTTTTATGGTATAACCTCTTACTCTCAGGCTACAAACCTGTATGGCACGTGACTCCACTGAATACTGTAGGGAATGGTATAGTAAAAAGGCAGAAAGGTACAGTAAAAATACAGTGGAAAAGATTTTTTAAAATGGTACACCCGGATAGGGAAGCTCCATTATAATTTTGTGGGAGCATCCTTACAAGTGCTCAAGTGCGTACTATGTGATTGACCAAAACGTCATTCAGTGACTCATGGCTGTATTGTGATGGGGAACTTATTATGCCCCTCCCTACACACCCCCAGAATCCATTTTATGTACCCCAAGTGACTGACAGTACTAAGAGAAACAGACAGCCTCCTGGCCCAGGTGTTTATCTCTCCTGCCATCAGCGCGGGCAGGCTGAGTGCAAAGGCAGCGCTCAGAGAAAGGCAAACGGGACTCTCAAAAACAAACATGAATGACAAGAATGACCAAGCACTTGAGGATACTTCATTTAAGAAATAGGGCTTAATCCTCTTCCCTTTGCATGTGGGTTGGGCTTAGTGACTCATTTTTTTTTATTTCAATAACTTTTGGGGTACAAGTGGTTTTTGGTTACATGGATGAATTGTATAGTGGTGAATTCTGAGATTTTAGTGCACCTGGGACCCGAGTAGTATATGTTATCCCTAATGTCCCTCCATCCTTCCCCTTCTGAGTCTCCACAGTCCATTATACCACTTGATATGCCTTTGCACACTCATAGCTTAGCTCCTACTGATAAGTAAGAACATACGGCATATGGTTTTCCATTCTTGAGTTACTTAGAATAATGGCCACCAGCTCCATCCAAGTTGCTGCAAAATACATGATTTTATTCTTTTTTGTGGCTGAGTAGTATTCCATAGTGCCTATACACCACATTTTCTTTATGCGCTCATTGGTTAATGGGCAGTTGGATTGGTTCCGTATCTTTGCAATTATGAATTAGTGACTCATTCTAACAAAACGCCGCCTAAGTGAGCAGTGTGTAAGTTGTGAGGCTAAATTGTGAAAGGCACTTCAGCTTGCTCCTTGACTCAGGCTGCTCACTCTGGAGGCAACCAGCTGCCATGTGAGGAGCCTTAAGCAGCCCAGTGGAGTAGAGCTGAGGTGAAGAATGAGGTTTCCTGCCAATAGCCACGTGAGTTAGCCGTGTTGGAAGTGGATCATTCAGCCTGTCATTTTCAAATGACAGCAGCCTTTTGAGAGACCCCAGGGCAGAACCATTCAGCTAAGCTGCTCCCAAATTCCTGACACACAGAAACCCCCTGAGATAATGATTATT